TCCGTCTCCCTGCGGCGGGGGGGCGCGGTCCGGAAATCCATCCTTAGGAGAGAATGGTCTGACCATGACAAGGGCTCAATAACTATTTCCCCTAATGTCAGATCATTCTGCCACTGGCCGGAGACAAAAACAAGATCCAGCGTGTGTCCGCCCGTGTGGGTGGGGGCCTGAATTAACAAAGGCACATGACGCAAATAAGAAAAAAGATAATTGTGCAGTCAGCATAAATTTGGAAAGTTATAGTAAATGAGAAAGATGTTATTATTAATCAGCAAAAAGAAAATAATGAGGAAGCCTGATTGTACCGACACAGTTAAACCCATAACAGCCACTCAGAACCACAAAAGGCTAGATTCTGAGTCTTTTTAATCAGATTTACTGTATTAAAAGGGGGGATAGGTTGCAGAATCTTGAAACTACATATTTGCATTTGAAGCAGCCTGGGAAGATTGCTTCTTGCTTTCCTGATACATGAGAATGTTCCAGCCTTGTAATATTTTTCAAACCCCTTTTTTCTAAATTCTGAGAAGTCTACAAGATGGGTACCTTCCACTCCCCCCAAAAAAGGCCATATCGAGGGTGACCTGTCCATTTTGGTTAATTAAATAGTCACCAAATAGGGCCCCAAGTTACATAGGGCATCAGATGTTGAAGAAAAAAATTAAAAATGAACATTTACTCCCTAGATCTGCTGTTATATTTGGGATTGCCGAATTTAGGGATTTCGGGGAGATAAAAAGGGAGTTGTATGACTTGCCTAGAACCCCAGTTGCTGGAATACCCCCTGTGGCAGGCATGAACAACAGTTTTGGACCTCAGAGCTATGCGTGGCACTTTAATTTGATGTGCATTTGCAGGTGCACATCAGAGATTCCAGGGGTGTTTATTGCAGCAAGACAGACTAACAGATTCTTGAGACCTTGTCTATATATCTCTCTCTGTCCTATCCTAACTAAACAAAATCAAGGTTGGGTTATTTTTATCCCCCCCCCCTCTTTCTCACCACTATAATCTTTTCTGCAAAGTAATTATTTTCTCCCCTATTAAGTGCAGGCTTGCTCATACCTTTCCCATCCTCAGATCAGTGCTTAATTCCTTTATAGCTACCATCAATTAGCAATGCAGAAACCATGATTTTTTTTTTCACATTAGGATTGCTAATGTGAGCTTAAATCTACAAATACATAAACACACACACACACACACACACACACACACAGAGTGATATATGTCTAGCATGGTGAGGTTTGTGTGGAAGAAGGCCCTCCTTAAGACAGGCAAATTGAGCATTCTCAAGGGTCAGCAGACTCAGCTGGGCATGTCCATGGTGCAATTACTGGGTAAAGCATGGGATCTATCATTGTTTGGCTGTTGAAAATGTCAGAAATAATAATAGGTCCGGCTTACTGTGGTAGCCACTATATATAGGTACCTTTAAATCAAATTGGGTCATCTTTTCCCTGTATCAAACCATGGTTGTGCATTTATAAAATTCCACCACAATTGATAAGATATGAGGGCAATATGAGAATCATCCAGTGAAGATCTATATTATGCTCCATGTAGGTGGAGTGACCTGGGGTGGTCTACAAATAGTACTATTAACATATAGAAAATATGTTTTTAGACAAGATGTTCTGGCATATATCTGAGAAAGGCAAAAGTAAAAAGGAGATACAGAGTTTTTTTAGGTTACCTCCTGAATTTAAATGGATGCCTATGTCATTGCTTCCCCCCCTCCCTAGATATGGAATTTTCCTACATGTGGAAAATTACTTTTTATTTACATTATATGTATTAAATAATTCTCAGTAATTTAAAATATTGGGCCAAACTGCTTGATTTAAACTGACAAGAATTATAAACCATACATATGTGTATGTATGTGTACAAACATACATGCATACTCACAAGTGGGTCAATATAAAAGAGAAAAAAGTGACATTGCCATAGGTGTATATTACAGGCTACCCAACCAATCAGAAGAAATAGATGAACTCTTTGCCAACCAGTTAATAAATGTATGTAAGAAGCATACCACAGTAGTAATGGGAGACTTCAATTATCCAGATATCAACTGGGAGACAAACTCTGCAGTGAGCAGGAGATCAAACAGATTCCTAACCAAGCTAGCCGACAACTTTGTCATCCAGAAGGTGGAGGAGGGAACTAGACGTAAAGCTATACTGGACTTAATCCTTACTAATAGAGAAGAAGTGATAGAGGGAGTTGAACCTTGGTGAAAGTGACCACGTCATACCGGAATTTAATATAATGAAAACACTAGCGATAGTAAACAATCCAACCACTGTCTTAAACTTCAAAAGAGCCAATTTTAACAAACTCAGAGATAACCTAGGAAAGATTCCATGGATGAAAATTCTAAAGGGGAAAACAACCTAAGAAGCGTGGGAAACTCGGAAAAATGTGATTATAAAAGCCCAGACCAGCACAATACCACTGAAAAACAAAAACAAGAAATTCAAGAAGAAACCAGATCTGACAAACTGAAAGACAAAAGGGACAGATACAAAGAATGGAAAGAGGGGCACATAACTAAGGCCGATTATCAGCAGACAGCCAGACCATGCAAAGATGAAGTCAGGAAAGCAAAGGCTCAGAATGAACAAAGACTTGCAACAGAAATCAAGGATAATAAAAAAAAGTTTTTCCCAACATATTAACAACAAGAAAAAAGTTAAGGAAACTGTAGGTCCACTAAAGAGAGAGGATGGCAAGGAAATAACAGGCAACAGAGAGAAAGCAGAGCTCCTTAACTCATTCTTTGCATCAGTCTTCACACAAAAAGATACTATAGCCCAACATATCAAAAAAAACCACTGCAAAAGACAAACTAGAAACAAACATTAAAATAAGCAAGAAAATGGTAAGAGAACACCTATGCAACCTTGACGAATATAAATAATCAGGACCTGACAGACTACATCCCAGAGTTCTGAAGGAGCTGGCAGATGTTATCTCAGAACCACTACACCATATCTTTCAAAAATCCTGGAGCACGGGAAATACCTGAGGATTGGAAAAGGGCTGATGTGGTTCCCATCTTCAAGAAAGGGGAAAAAACAGACCCAGGAAACTACAAACCAATCAGTTTAATATCGATACCTGGGAAGATCCTAGAAAAGATAATCAAAAAACAGATCTGCAAAAAACTAGAAGCAAACAAAGTTATAACTAATAGCCAGCCTGAGTTTGTTAAAAACAGATCCTGCTAAACCAATCTTATTTCATTCTTTGATAAATTGACTAAACTAATAGAGCAGCAAAATGCTGTGGACGTAGTATACTTAGATTTCAGTAAGGCATTTGATAAAGTAGACCACAACCTACTCCTTGGTAAGCTAGAAAAAGGTGGAATAGACAATATCACTACCAGATGGATCTGTAGCTGGCTGGCAAACTGTCCTCGAGTAGTCCTCAATGGCACCACATCCACGTGGAAAGAAACAGTGGTTCCGTGTTAGACCCAGTACTCTTCAATATCTGCATAAATGACTTAGATGAGGGAATTGAAAGGGAACTCATCAAATTTGCAGATGACACTAAACTGGCAGGAGTATCCAATACCCAGAAGACAAACGCAGGATCCAAAAAGATCTTGACAACTTGAAAATGGGCCCTGTCCAATAAAATGAGTTTCAATGTGGAGAAAAGCACAGTTTTACATTTAGGCAGGAAAAATCAAAGGTACAAGTACAGATTACTGGCTCAAAACAGTAACTGTGAGAGGGACCTTGGAATCTTAGTGGACAATCACTTAACTATGAGCCAGCAGTGTGCAGCAGCAGCCAAAAAAGCTAATACAATCCTGGGTTGTATAAACAGAGGCATAGAATCAAGATCACACAAAGTATTAGTACCGCTTTATAAAACCCTAGTAAGACCACACCTGGAATATTGCAGCCAAAAAAGATGTTGAGAATTTGGAGGGAACTCAGAGAAGAGCAACTAAGATGATCAAAGGCCTGGAGACTAAAACATATGAAGAACGGCTGCAGGACTTGGGTTTAGCTACTCTAAAAAAAAGAAGAAATAGGGGAGACATGATAGCAATGTTTCAGTATCTGAGGGGCTGCCACAAGGCAAAGGGGGCCAGGTTGTTCACCAAAGCACCAGAGGGAAGGACAAGAAACAATGGTTGGAAACTGATCAAAGAGAGAAGCAACCTGGAATTAAGGAGAAACTTCCTGACAGTGAGGACAATTAACCAGTGGAACAGCTTACTCTCAGAAATCGTGGGCACTTCATCACTAGAGATTTTTAAGAAGAGGCTAGACAGTCACTTGTCTGAGATCATATAGGTTCTCCTGCTTGAGCAGGGGGCTGGACTAGAAGACCTTCAAGGTTCCTTCCAACTCTATTCTATTCTAAGTATAAAAATGTGGCATCTGGGCTGAATTAATCTATTATGCTCTGTGGATTGCCTTTTAAAATAATTTGGAAAGATCAACTGGTGCAAATTATTGACCACTTTATTGTTTAAGTGCCTGAAACATTTGACATACATATTTTACCAATTCTACTGGTTGCATTTCAAGACCCAAACAGAATGCATGTATTGACCTTTAAATTTATAAAGAGTCTAGGAATGAATTGTTTGAAGAATTGCCAACACCTATTAGTGTATCCACACAGAAAGAGTAATAGAGGCCCTAATGTTGCATTACAATAATTAGTACAATACTGTTCCATTAATAAGAACAATTATATTAGCAATTATCCCTCATGTGTGAATTCTATTCCACTCAGGATTTATCAAGCTTAAAACATAGGAGATAAATCCTATTATGCTCTGCCTCTTTTTAAAATATTTTCATCATGATGTTATACTTACGATGTGGTTTAGCTATGATATTTTTATTATCTTTTGTAAATTTGCATGTTTGCATTTGCTTTAAGAGACAGCCTATACTTTTTGAACTAAATAAAATGTATGGCCAGCAAGTTTTCAGTTTTGAATTGCTATTTTAATGTTTTAGGATATTCCCACGGGGGCTGACAGCTGTGTCACCAGTCTGTCCTGTGATTCTCATCGTTCGCTCATTGTAGCAGGGCTTGGAGATGGCTCCATTCGGGTTTATGATCGACGGATGGCTCTGAGTGAATGGTAAGAGGGCCACCTCATTCCTCACAACAGCAAGGAAAGCTTATATTTGTTCTGACTGGTTGGCTCAGGTGGCGATGCATGAAGTAGGAGCACTTGCCCCAGCAATGTTCCCCAGATTACCATCAGTTGCAAAGATGATTTTTCTCTTCTCCCTTTCCATATACATCTTAAGCATGGGTGAATTTTAACAACGTAGGCCTTCCTATATGGTGGGTGGGTGGGTGGGAGGGAGGAAGGAAGGNTGATTGCTGCCTATCCATTTTCTCCTTTGCTGCACCTATCAAGCCCAAGACATAGCAAGAGTACCTGTTGAAATAAGCAGCTGCAGGAAGAGGGGTGCCTTAATGTGCCAGCTCTCATTCAGTGGCTTACACCTTCACTTCTGTGGTCAAGCCATCCCAGGAAGCAGGTGGTTCTCCTTGTAGCAGCTTTGGGGGTTTTCTCCGGATCTTATTTTCAGACTCTCTCCTTTCACTTGTAGCCGTGTGATGACCTATCGAGAGCATACAGCTTGGGTGGTGAAGGCATATTTGCAGAAACATCCTGAAGGCAACATCATGAGTGTCAGGTAAAAAAAAAAATGAACGAGTAAATGAAAAGGAACAAGAACCTCTGAATATTTATGTGACATTTTCCTGCCAAAGCATTACTTTGGGCACTCTTGTTTGAAAAGCTGTCTCCAGTATTTAAAAAGCAGTGAGGTTTGAGCTCTTTACTTTGGCATTTCTGTCCACCAATTAACTCGGGATTCAAAACTGGAATGGCAAAAGAATAGCCTTGTTTCTTAGAACGATGGCTTTTAAAGAAGATTGGAACAAACGCTACTCAAAGCAATTGACAAAATTGTACAACTCTGCAGTTAACCGTCGGTTTTATCTAAGACTGGAGAGCCAAATTACAGGTAGTTCCTCAACTTACGACCACAATCGAAGCCAAAATTTCTGTTGCTATATGAGAAAGTTGTGAAGCGAGTTTTAGCCCATTTGACGACCTTTCTTGCCACAGTCGTTTAGCGAATCGCTGGAGTTGTTAAGTTAGTAAGATGGTTGTTAAGTGAATCTGGCTTCCCCCTTGACTTTGCCTGTCAGAAAGTCGCAAAAGGTGAGCCCAGGACACTGCAACACTCACATATATGAGTCAGATGTCAAGTTTCCAAATTTTGATCAGGTGACCATGGGGATGCTGCAGTGCCCCTAGACCAGTGTTTCTCAACCTTGACAACTTTAAGGCATGTGAACTTCAACTCCCAGAATTCCACAGCCAGCATTGCTGGCTGTGGAATTCTGGGAGTTGAAGTCCACATGCCTTAAAGTTGTCAAGGTTGAGAAACACTGCCCTAGAGTATGGAAAACAGTCATAAGTCACTTTTTTCAGTGCTGTTGTAACCTCGAACGGTCACTAAATGAACTGTCGTAAGTCAAGGACTACCTGTATACAGGGAGGACAGCAGTGTTTGTAAGAGGGAGCACCCCAATCCAAGAGAAAAGGCCACCCCTTTCCAGGTAACCTCTCGGACTCTCTCAAGGACAGAAACACAAGTATTGCAATTGACAAGTCTGGAAGTAGGGCCCAGTTTTTAGCCCTGCTTTCTTTATCCTTAGGAAGAAATCTGAGCTGACAGCTCTCACTTTGAAAACTTTAAAAGGAACAATCCTCCACTTTAATCAGAATTTTTTTTCCTGACTCTGAAGTAAAAGAGAAGAATTGGGTAACTAGCCAAAAGAAGTAATTTGTTCATTAGATCTGTAACTTCCCTTTTCTTGAAGAACCAAGGCAACGGACTTGGTTCTCCCTCCAGTGGTTTTTTCCCCCCCTAAAAGTAACCAAACTGTGAGGTAAGTTGGATTGACAGAGAGCGTTGAGCTTCCATGGCAGAATGTGGCCTTGAACTTCATTCCTAGTTCACTACCTTAACTTCTAGATCACATTGGCACTCACAAATCTTTTGCTAGCAAGAAAGGAAATTAAAAAAGAAAAAGAAACAGTGGGAGAGATTTCATTGCATGTTCTGAGGTTATTGCTATGAGGAATTATTTTCCCATCTAGCAAATTTTTGTGCATAAATCCATTCCTTATTCTCAATAAATATGATGTGAGAGCACTCTCTCTATTAAGTGTTCCATTCTCGGGACAGCAGAATATAATTTATTGCCTCTACATTGCCATTTGGTTTTTTTTTTAGAGAAGTTGTTCTCTGTAGCCTGGGTTAAAAAAGCATATAATTCTCTCTGATGTAATATTTCCTGCAACTGCTATTGAGCAGCAAATTCTGTCATCCTTATTTTCCCTAGGAATGAAGTAAAGTACATTAATTTGCAGGATGTGAAGGTCTGTGTGATAGTTTCCTTTTTTAGGAATATAATTTTATTAAGATTTTTGATTATAATAGTAAAAACTAATAGAACTAAACTTACAGAAAGAGATAAGAATAGAAAAAAGAATAAAAACTGCAGGAAAAACAAAAAAGAAAGAAACAAGAAAAAGAAAAGAATTTAATAAAAAAGGACATATATAAAGAAGTGACTTCTAACTTTCATCACAATAAGTATTAAAAAAACCTCTTCACATCCTATAAGGTTACCAATAGATATCTCATATCCCATTCCTTATTAAGCAAATCCATAAAGCTTCAATATTTCCATCCTTGTGCCAGCAAAAAAATCCATAAAAGTCCAGAACTTAGCAAAAAAAAAAAAAATCTTGTCTGAACATGATCAAATAAACTAAATTTATATTGCTTCCTTTTACTTCTAACAGTCTTAATCTTTAATTCAATCAAATATTGTCATAGGATTTGATTTCTCTTCAGGTCCTCTTTATCCCATCACACAGATTTCTTCAAGGTTTCAACAAGCCTCTTTCGTAGATCCAATAAGAAAACCTATTACAAACCATTTTATTGGTTTAATAATTTGTATTTCTCTTTTAATTTTTAAAACTTCAGCCAGTTTCTTTTGTATATCTAGGAAAGTATACTTTTTCAAATCGTTCTCTTGGATGTCATCCGTAACTCTACTTTCTCTACTTTCTCTGTCTTAATAGATAAAATTTGTTCCACAGCTGTCATTCCTTCATTAAGAGCTTTATTTATTAAGCTTTATGTTTTCATGTATTTAATGAAATTTATTTATTTAAATTCAAACACTACAGGCCAATTAAAAGATGGAGAGGGCAGGAGCAGGATGCTAGGGGAGGTAGGATCTGTTGTTAATAGATCAACCACTTCCCCTGTGATGCTCCCTCATCGGAGCCCCAAGCTAACTGGCAGAGCCAGGTCTTTAGGCTCTTACAAAAGGTCAGGCGGGTTGGGACCGACCTCACTCTGGAGGGGCAAGAGGTTCCACAGGGCAGGGGTTGATATTGTAATTACACACTTGTTTCTGGCTCCATTCTTCAAAGATCTCCCTTAAGGTTTGTAATACAAAAATGTTTTGTGTCATTTTGTAACTCCCGGTACTAACCAATATCAAGAACAGGCTTGTATGTTTTTTCCCTTCTATTTAGAGTCTTCTAGTGTCAAGTTTCTGAAATCATAAAGTCACTTATCTTGTTATCACTTAACAATAGCCAGGATAGCCAAAATAAATCTGTTTCCTATGAGAAGCTGTTTTTTTATACAGTAATTAATTCCAAAACCTTATAGTAAAAGTCAACACACCAAATGTATCTAGAGCCTTAATTAATTTACAACTTTCTTACATCATAATCTTATTTATTTTTTTGTATTTATTTCAAATTCTTTAAGTTCTTAAGCTTACAATATTTTTTTTCTTTTGTTCAGACTTGAACGATCTCACCTAATGACTTTTCAGACTTGTTGTTCCTAAGGTCTTTTCAGATGATTAATAGACAATTTCCCAAAGTGATTAGAAAGTAAGGTTTGAAGAACCTAGTGTCCTTTAAAAGACTCTACCATGGTTATGAGCAAGTTGGCTGATCCCTTCATCTCCCAGCATTCAAACCCACAGAAAAGTGCTATCATGCAATCTCCTCATCAGGAGTAGTCATCCAGAGCACATTTGGGCAATCTCTCATCCTCTCTTTATCCAGAGTCCAAGAAACCAGTCTACTCACTTGCTGTGGTCATCAGCTCTGCTTTTGCAGAGACATCTTCAGTTCACCATACTTCCCCTGGAGGTCTCTGTGTGGTGGTTGAATTAACCTCCACAGATGCCCTGCCACTGGGCAATTGTCAGAATTTTCAGCAATAGCATTTCTCATTCGGATTCAGGAGGGACTCATATCTTCCTTAGAACCGGGTATGTGTTGACTCCCATATACCTTCCCTATTATCTTCAGTAACATGCTGTTCAGTTTGCTTTACCAAAAGAGGATGCAATTCAGGCATGCCGTGAAAGAGTTTGATACAACAAATTTCCTGAGGCTAAGGAGACCTAAGGCTAATTGGTATATAGAAGGGAAAGAATGTAAGCTTTGTGAATATATATTGAATTGGATGTCCCAGAGGAAAGGCAAGCTAGAAATGTATTTTGCAAATCAAAAAACCAAGCAGATATGATCACTAGGTTAAATCTGTTGTGCAAATCCAGTGATAAGAATCCTGGCTAATACTAGACAAAACCTGCAGTTTTCCAGTGTAAGTCTGCAGGAACAGCAAGAGCTGACTGTCAGCTAATATTGCCTAAAACACGTGTGACTTAATTTCTGTCATCCCAGGACTAAGCCCCTGTGCCTCCTTATGTACTAACTGCTGATTATTTATTTGGTATACTTATATCCCACATGCTCTCAGCAAAGGCATCCCATGTCTAGCAAAACTCAATAAAGAATAATGAAAAATCCAAATAGAATACATGATATCATGAAACAATAGTCACAAATCAAAAGCAGTTTAAACAGGCAAAACAAATCATGGTTTCAGCATTAAAAACAAACCAAAAAAATGCATAGCCTCTCCAGGAGAAAGGCTAAGCTGTAAAAGTAAGATATTAATTTGGTCTTAAAACAGAGGTCCCCAACCTTTTGGGCACCAGGGACCATGGAGAGAGGTTTTTCCGCGGACCGAAGAGGGTGTGGTTTTGTGTGCTTCCTGTATCCCACGGATGGGGCTTTGCTTGTTTGTGCGGACCGGTTGCTGGCATGCCACGGACCGGGGGTTGGAGACCCCTGTCTTAAAACATACTAAAGAAGAGCAGGGCTGAAGAGCGCAGATATCTTCCACAGTCAGAGGAGGAAACTGGTAGCACACAAGCTGCTCCCGAAAGAGAAGCTGATGCCAGGGCAACTTTCTTCTTGGGCAGCCTATAGAATTTGGGGACCCCACAGAGTCCCCAAAGACACCCCCCTCCCGAACTGCACAACTGATCTTTCAAGGGAGAAGTACTTCTGTCTAAAGCAGAGAAAGCCCTCTCCCCAAATTTGAAATCTGGACATATTAGGCACATGCAGCATTTCTGAGCCTGGATGAATAATATAATTTAGGGAGACGTTCCTGCAGTCCAGCCACTATGTTGTGTCAAGAGAGATGCTGAAGGTTCCTTGTTAAGCAACTTCTGACAGTCTGCAGGTTATTTACCCTGTAATCCCAGGAGTTGACATCCAGCACAT